GGTTCTTATCATTAACTCATTATATTTCTACTTAGTTATCAGGTTGCACACAAAAGGCAATACTTTGGAGGTAATGTAAGATATGTATGTAGACTAAAAAATGAAATGTGTCTGAGTGTCGGGCAGAATCCTAGTGAACAGACACCCAGAGGTCAATGTTTAATGCCAAGTTTAATTCAGGATTGCGATGAGGTATTCAGGTAGAGCTCCGCAACCTTGTCGTCAGCCACCCAAGTCTTTGATTTCTAGACTCGCAGGTTCACCTGTTCCAGTGTTAAGGGTAGCAGAATGCTCAAGGCAGCAACTATTCAATTGAGAGAGCAAGGGGCTCACTTTATCCCCTCAGTCAAGTTCTTCCAATAGTAAGTCTACAGGTGTACCAATTCATTTGGGACTTCATCAGAGTACCTCAGCTGCCCCCTTTGAGGAAGACTCTTGGTACCCTCTTACAAAACAATGTTTGTAATTGGCATAATGGCAGATGAAAATCCAGTGTTAACACTGTCATTGAGACGGAACATACCTTGAGCTATGCGTCCTCCAGCGCGTCTCGTACTCCAATGAAATGCTGATGTCAATATTTAGGGTGCAATGCTCTCTCTCTTACTCCATTCATGGCCAGTTGACGATAAAAAGAAAATTGTTTCAATCATTATACTATACTTGTGTAACTGAGCCATGACTGCTTGATAAAAGTACATCTGTAATCAGACACTCCCAGCAAAGCAGACACCAAATTCCAGAATTGCAGGAAAAAAAAGCAGAATACGTGAGGAGAAAGTGAAATAATAGGCCAAAAGGCAGAGAGGTGTCAGACTTAGTTTGCCCAAATTTCTTCTGACTGTATTACAACACCATGCAAACCCTCATGGGTGCCCAGGGTTGAACTTGATGCAGACGGCGGAGCAAAAGCTCAAGAAACTTAATGAAAAGTAGAGCAAGAGAGCACAGTAATGCCATTAGAGAGTTAGAGGGGCCTGCATGGACTGGACTTGACATTGAAAAAATGAGAACAAGTGCACGGTCATTACATGAGTAAGAACAGAGAAGTTTCAGCTCATGAGTAATTATTGTCGACTTTCTGTGGCCGCCATGTGCACTTTCGTTCTTTTGGCCACTTCATTTCAGTAAGGGGGTAACGTACTACCCCAGTACTAAAGGCATTTGATATCTTCTATCCCTAGAAGCTCCATGTTCTATTGAAAAAGTGAACATGATTTGAAGAAAACTATCCATGCCTTCTAAAGGATGACATTAATTAGTTAATCAGAATGGAAAACCTTAATTAATACCCTATTTTACCTGGAAATGTTTAATAAATTCAACTTTTCTTTGAGAAGTGAGTCTGAAATGAATGATGTGTTGCATTACACATTCTAAATGGTCTCTGCATTTATCTTGCTATGGAATTGAGCCTGTATGTGTGCACATCTTAGGATGCAGTAATTGCAAGAGGAAGGGGTAGTTTTTACGTGATTGACATTTCCTGACATTTGCACAACAGAATCGACGAAAACCGCACCTGATGTGACGTTCCAGTGGTTGAAAATCCTTATACTTCTAAGGATATTGACCAATTGACTTACAATGAACCTCTACATATGTTTGCATGCTTAAAGTATGAGTGATTCTAGGCAAACTACTGATGTATGTGTGAAACACTCTGGCTTGTGATGATGGACATTCAGACTCTGTAAGCAACAGTAATTTGCATTTCAACTGAAAAAACATTGTAGGCCAACTTTGACTTGTTCAACTTTTGAACCCAAAGCCCAGCTTAAACATTTTGAAAAATCTAAAGTGACAAAATAGTTGTCTGACACTGTAGTCCGATTTAAACCTCTTTTTATCCCATAAGACCTTTTTGTGATGCTGTCATTACTGGCAAAAATCATCTTTACTATTACTTGCAACCAATGATATTTCTTATTCCCATTAAAAAGAATATCTGGGGCATATACAAGTGTAGAATGAGAATACAATTCATTTGAAGAGCTTGCTACCTTTCTGTTTGAGATGACTTTGATTGCAGGCACTGATACTCTCCCTGTCCATATGGTCCATATGACCAGAGTTATAGAATATAGGCCTGCATTCAGCATACATGTATCTGCATTGGAGGTGTGTAACCATGGACCTAACAAACTGGACAGGTGAATGGATAAGAGAAGCTTATCCACATGACCCAAAAGATGGGACTTTACAGGTGTCTTTACAAAAGGGTCCCCCTCAAAATTGTTGGTTTAAAGACCACCTCTGCAACTCCCTTCTTAAAAATTCAACAAGTGGGTTGGAGGGGGGAGGGTTTATTTTATAGAGGGGGCCAAGATTTTATTCATAGTTTTAAGGGCTACTTTTAATCTGATCCTGACTTGGTAATCAGACTTAGAGATTTTATCCATTTATAACCCCTTCATTGAAAGAACTATTGAATGGTGTCTCTTTAATCATTTTCAGGGGCTCTCAGAGTTTCAGGTGCAGTTTTCCCCAGCTTTGTTTTTTCTTTTCTTCAATTTTGTAATGTACAAAGCATGGATGAGATAATTGAGGGATTTTTTTCATCATTAGCCCTGCCAACTATAAGCTGACCTCATAACACGGGTGTATACATGTTCAGATAATTTTGGAATACTGGTCAACTATTTCCACCTGAGCACTCTAGTTCTTGTTATAATCTAGAAATAAGTCTGTGGCAGAAATGGCTGTTAGACTAGACAGGTGAATGGATCTAGGAACTAATCTCCATGCCACCCTGTGGATTCCCCTCTACAGGTGTCCATTCCCACTTTAACTGCTACGTGGGGACACCAGCATCAAAGACCTGATGAAAAATGAGGTTGACAAGTAACCAAAGTATGAATCATCCCCCTATCAAGTTCAACAGGACTGTCAGTTATGGCAGATGTGCCACTTGTTTAGAAATCAAAAGTTCATGCAGTTTAAATTCATGATCTTTCGGTTGGGACGGGGGAAATTTCCTCATTGGAGTTGGTATGAAAATGTGGATTTCAGGAAGATAATTCACTGTATTTGTGATGAGGCATGATTAGTAATAGCAACAGTAGACTTTATCGGATAACTTGGTCTGGCCTGGGTTAATCTGCCATGAAGTCATTATGGTATTAACTATTGAGGTCAATGCAAAGGATGATCTTCATCGCGATGATTAATCATAATAAAAATGGTCGACTGAATGAATGTAAGGATTACTGACAAAGTATGATCCATAGAAATCTATGTAGAATAGTTACATACAGCTTTCTGTAAAGGTCAGTTATGAAAGTGGTTAGGGGTTCTTAACGCCTTATTCATAAACTGCCACTACACATACTGTTAAAGGTCCCTTCAAGTAACCAACTGATGTCAAATATTGCATTCAAATGATTTTTTGATTGAACCTGCACAGTTCTTTTTAAAAAAAAAGTCCATTTAGTAAATTGGTCCTTAAACTATGCAAATTTTCACTTGACATGTTGAATAAGATCTTGTTCTCCAAATCCATGTGGAAAATTGAAGGATGATGACAAGAAGTAAGACACATTCATGTTAATCAAACCGCCATGATTAGAAGCGAGAACCATTTATATTGTTAAGAGCCAGCCACTCCTGGGGAAAGTAACATATACCCTCGTTCCTCGTAAAAATCATACTTTTGATTGCAAGCAGAGGATGAGTAAGGGAGCCCCTTCCTCTGATCAAGTATCGTTTCCATGGTTACCATAGAGTTCCTCTTCGTTCTCCCTCCTCAGGAGCAACGATGCACATAGGTATGATGAAAGAAAGTGTTGAGATTCAAATCAGATTGGAGCGTTGGTCAGTCCTAAATGTTGTTGTGTATTAAAGAATATATTTACTTGGGAACTGTCGATGAATGATAAAATAAGTTGTGTGGTGTGTGGATAATTTTTTGAGATGACTTGAGTGTTTTAAGCTTGAAATGTGAGATATTCTTTTATCTTTTTGTTAAAAAAATTCATTATTTAATGAATGATATCATGTGCCTAGGAGAAGGGAGAAAGTACATGAGTAGGAAAATGCCTGATTTATTTCTTGAGATTTATTGAGTGTGTTACCTAAATGTGGAAGGTATTTTAAAATAAACATCTTTTGAAGATGACATTGAAGCATTATGAGGAAGATATGCAATCTTCTGAATGAATCTGCTTATCAGATATTGGGTGGTTTTTATGCATTATTTTTATGAAATTTGTGAAACAATATATTATAAAAAAACCCTCCAATGCTAAAGCTCAAGACTCACAGAAGTCAAGTGTACATCATGACCCCCCCAATTTTAAACCGCATCCCCAAATTTTGAATTTTGAATCGGGGCCACTTAAACACTCAAACTACAAAAATATCATGTTAGTGTGGAACCCTGGAACCCTCCGGTTATATAAGAATCATTCAGTTATAGGTTTTGCAGGGCAGATTTTGTAAAAGGTTTACGTCTGGAGGCATATATCATTTATGAGGTGTTGAAATTAAAGGATATAGGACTAATTAAAACTGTCAGAGTTAACTATCAAATCAAAAAGATGAATGAGAGAGTAGTAGGACGTGGTTCGGAGATGTCTCGGGGTCATTAATCTATCACAAACAGGACTTTCTGATTTGGCGTATGGTCAACTTCTTAATAAGAATAAGCATAACATTTTCACAGGGGGTTCATCAAGTAGCCTGAACAAATGATTCCATTGAAAGATTTGCCTAACTTGTTTTGATCAATTTACATGGATATGATTGAATTAAGTTGGATATTTTTACATGTATGTGATAGGAAATGTTGTTAGTTTACATGAATTTCATGCGTTGGTCAGGGACAGATACAAATTATTTAAAAAATTCATGTTAATTCTCTATGAGAACTATTGTGATTACTTTATCGACATATTGGTAATAAAATGATTAAACTAATGATTATCAAATTTAAATTAGAATATTTTTTTACATTATTCATGAAAGATTTTCAGTGTAAATAAGATTAATTCTGATGTTTAATGACCTTTTTTTTCTTTTTTTTCTTTTTTTCTTTTTTTCTTTTGTATACAGATGAAGACTCTGTGAAAGCCCCTACTTCTTCATCCAAACCTGATGGTCTTGCGGGCCAAGTCTACAGTCTTATCGAAAGCATTCAAAACAGGTACATTTATTATTAGATTTGATTCTAAATTCAAAATATTTTGATATCATATGCATTTTTTATACATGTTATTTTAATGTTATCTGTAAGCCAGAGCTTTGCCAATTTGCTTTCAGAATAACATTTTTTGTGGCACATATTGATGTTAAGTCATGGAATTATGAACATTCAATTCCAGACGCCAATTTTTTTTTTTTATAGAATTGCAAAATGAAAAAAAAATCCACTTGATTGTGTTCTGCTAATTTCTGTTGCCTTCTGATACTTCAAGGACAGGTAATTCAATTAGGTTTTGTGCTCTCTAACAAAAGAAGCGTGGTATTGAAACTTCATGCAGCAAGAATGCATTCCTTCGCTCATTATGAAATATTTCCACGTTTCATTTGTCCATCTTAAGCCGATGATTATCACTTAACACGTTCATTACAGTGTGTTCACATTGAGTGCCTCATTCACACTGCCCTTGCTCCCATTGCGTACCCAAAACAGTTTATAAAATGCACCCTATGAAAACATCAATATGTATACACCCCACAGATTGGTTTTGACTCTACATTGCCTCAGCAAGCTAGGTCTTGTGCTATTTAAAAACCCAAGTTTACGTTTGTCAATGGAGAAGTGCTTCCCCCGCGCAGCTTCTAGACAAATCAAAAATAAACTTGAACGCTGGACAAACCTTTATGTGAGGAGATGAGAAAACAATATTTTACCGGTAATAAAACCAACACTTGTGTGTTGCAAAAAATGTGAGCTTTGTTTGTTTTGTGCAGGGGCCTGTTTTCGCAATGCTAGACTTGTATTTGATGTGTGATATTCAGAGAATAGGCTTACTTTGAAACTTTGATACAATGTGTAAAAGGCAATATCAAAACCACCATACAGATAATATTAAAAATATGCAATATTTAAAAGCAAATCATGAATAATACTTGAAACCAATACAAATTATTAGTGACCAGTGTATGGCTAGATGTACAGAATCTGTTATACTTTTGTCTGCATTAAAATTCTTTCATCGATTTTGATTAATAAGGTTATGAGATTGCCTTTATTTCTTTCAAAATATAAATTTACATCTTCATACCGACCTGGTGCGCTAAACCACCTTAGAAAATAATCCAGCAGCACAATGAAATGACAAACAATTAGCAACTGAATTATTCATACCCCTAGTAAATTCAATGTTTTTGTTATTGTTTATCATTACTCAAGAATGAAAGATGGACTGGTTGAATTAGGGTTTTAAGTTTTTAATATGTCACATTCTCAAGAAACAAAAAATCGGGATATACCAATTTTCACATACTTCAAATTGTAAACCTTATTACGGGTATGAAACTCTTATTGTAGTGCACTTCATAAAACTGTTTTTCTTTAAATATAGAGATCACACATTCTTCATATTTGATCTTTGCTTTATAAAAAATTCACAGCTGTTTCTTTTTCTCACTTGCCACTCACTTACACATGAAATTATATTAATTTTTGCTGTGGTGTTGTTTTTTTTTCTTCAAAAGGGAATGTACAGTAGCATGTCTGAACAGTTTTAATTCAGACATTTTTGTGCCAAGATCTAGGGACCTAGTCAATTCATACAGTCGATTTCTATCCAACCCATGATGCAACACCAGCCTTGTTATTTCCTGCCATCAGGGGTTCTGATGAAGTAACGTATCATAAAAACAACTTTTAAAGGAATCATTCAAACTGGTAGTGTTAGGTTTAGTGATGAATACATCCCTTTTTTTCACATACTTCATAATACTTTCTGATAAGAAAGACATATTTCAAGATTGGAATGTTAAAGATTTGTATTATAATTAATTAATATTAATGCTGTTAAGATAGGAAGAGGAAAATATGTTACCTGACTAATGACTAACATTGACAGCCTGTTACTCGATATAACATTGATCATGGCCATCTTTGTTTTTGCTTGCACTTAATTGTGTCATAGAATTTTAGCTAACATTAATGTATACACAAAATAGGGAAACTCTGAGGCAGAGTGGATATAAATATCTGGCATTCCAAGTGTGAGTTGAAGGAAAAGTCGAATCATTGTCAGTCTCGGGAGGAGGTCTATCCCATCAGCAACGCTTCACTGCCAGACAATTTCAAAGTTAAATTCTTATCTTTGTCATTTTTAATCTTTCCCAACCCCTCTTAACACTCTTAATACAATTGGACCGCTGCATCCCTCTCAACTCAAGACCAGTCAATTGCTGGCTGACATTCCCCAACACTCCATTCATAGCTGCCCTCGGCTTGGGGCTCATTCAGCGGTTGATAAAAGGGTGTCAACAAAATTTTGAATTATTGCTACAACAAAGCATTCCCGTATAAAATGTCAATATTTGGCTTTGGCACCTCAGAACCAATGTGAGGTTATTTTTTGTTCAAACATATGTCTATCTTTGAAGAGAAATCACATTGGGTATATTTTGGGTTGTTTGTACATTTTGTGAAATCAATTATAGACATTTAGTTTGTTTAACAAGTTGTCAGCATACATGTTCAAGTTCATAAGTTCAATTAAATATATTTTATTTGTTATATTCAAATTTCAAGCAGTTTTGTTGTGTTATTGATGAAATTTATGATTTTGAAAATGTCAATTGTATGATTTGTTTCCAGTGCTATTATTTGTCAGCTTGAGTAAGGCAACACATATGAAAGATATCAAAATACATTTCATTCTTCTTGTCCTAGCAAAGTCTTCTGTATGAAATCAACAAGTTTTCATCGTTCATTTGTTTTAATCTATTTTTCTTCTATTTGTTGACAGCCTCCAATGGAAAGAAAGCAAGACAGAGAACACCTCAGACTCCACCCGTCCGCATCATCGAGGGAAACGGTTCATCTCTTATGAACGGTACCTGGAGATGATGGTGGTTGCGGATCACAAGATGGTGGAACATCATGGAGGAGGAGTTCAACTCTACGTCTTGACTCTGGTTGCAGTGGTATGTTCTATTCTTGCTGAAATCATAAAGATCATAATCATAAAGAAATCTCTGAGACCATTTTGAAAATATGTTTTTTCAATAGAAGCTTATTTGGGATTTGCTGTTGAAAAAGTGGTATTTTGTTGCAGAATTTCTGAATATTTTTTTAATTTTTTTTTTATCAGGGCTCTGTTTTTTGTTGTACAAGCTGTTTTGGATCTTCTTTAGCTAAATCCCTCCCTGGTCCCATACAGTATCACTCCTGGAGACCTAGCCAGTATTCTTTGTTTTACTGTGTTATATTCCCTTCCGTGAAACCACCAAGAGAATCATAAAAAATATACTTCAAAACTTTTAATCGACACACTGACTATGGCAATGACAATTGTGACACGTTTTTGAGGAGTGAAGCATCATGAAATATTAAATATTATTATTATTATTATTATGAGTGCCAGGCACAAGTGGATACCAGTGCTATACAAGAAGCCATCAGCGTCAAAAGTTTCATAGCTGCATTTGTTGGTTCAAAATTGATTAATTGATAAATTGCTCAAATATTGATTTGATTCATTCTTCACCATCTCAAACAAAGGTAAACCGTCCATGCATATCGCAGCCACAACATTAGGTACATTGAGTATTGTGAAGTCATAAATTCATAAATTCTCACATGTTCTGATGTGTAATGCAGTCATCATTTCAAAAACATTTCGATGGCACGTGATATTTTGCTTTCCTCTCTGTCCTCTTCCTAAGGTAAGAACCACTTCGCAAAAACACTTGACCCCCTACCTTGCATCTTAAGGCTTCCCCCATCTTCCCCTGGTCTCGGACCGCATCTCTCGAGTCCTCCGAGGCAAAGTTCATCCAATGGGATGTCTTGTGTACCTGGGCGATATTTTTGTTATTTTCCACCCCAAACCTGGCTTTAATTTTTGACACTGTTCTTGTCTTTTTGTAAATGCATGTCTGATGTGGTGAAAGGAATGTGGAGTGAGTTTAGAGAGAGATCAAACTTCATAATTTGTGTAACGACGTGTCAAGTAGGGTCACGGGTCCTGATTGAGACGGGTAGTGTTTTAAGGGGGGGGGGGGGGTTCCCCGACAAGATCCACATGTGTGACATCAGATACGTAGTCTCTGAAGACACACTAACTAGGACATCCCTCAAGCCCCTGCTAGATCTAGTCTCTTCTTCCATACGCAAAGCTTCTTCTTCTCCAACGGTCACACTTGATGCAATTCATAAGTATTCTTAAAACTTCATATAAATAGTATTAATTTAAGGCTTTTTAGAAATAAGTTTCAAGGGAGAACTACACTAACTGTGGCACTTTAGAGCACTTAGCTTTTTGCACCAAAACACTATATAAATAGCAATTCTATTTCACAGCTGAAAAGGTTCTCCCTTTGACCCACATTCAGGGCGATGAGTGTGGGATATGTGGCGATTATTCTTTTGTTTTCTAGAGCAGAAAACCCCCAAAGCTTGTTATTTTCAGCCATCTTTTGTAGTTTGTTGTGATCCGCCACACATGGAGAATTGATGACCCAGAAATGAAAATCATTTTTAAGTGATTCCATTCCTGTATACTCTGATTACAAACAAGCTATGTAGACTGTGGAGGAGGAGTTCTCTGGTTCACTGAGGGTGTCGGTAAATGCCAGCACTGTTTGGCCATGCAGCGCAAAATGAAAACAAAAAAGTTGGAAATGTTACAATATTCTTCACCTCGTAGGTATTGAACAGTGACAGAATCTTTTAGCGAGTATCAACATATGCAGTTGGACCAGAATCATGTTGTGTCTTATTCTGACTGTCATGCGTTATTACATGGAGGAAAAACAGAAGGATTTGGAACCAGTATAACAATTTTGAAAGAATTCAGTACTGTTGTTATCCTAAAGATCCTATACCTCCCTCAAAAAGTGGAGTAACTTGTCTTTGATATACTCTAATAGAAAGTTTTCTGTTTCAAATATGATTAAACTACTTTACACTATTTATGTAAAAGGTTTTTGCAGGCTGTTGCAGACTAGTGTCCCTACATAACATCTAATTTAGATTTGAAAATCAAGATGTTTTTTGCTTGAAAATGGCAAATTTTTAAAATCATTTGTAGTACTAAAACCACAGGATCCTTTTTTATTGCAAATTCCTTAGGCAGATATATTCTAGTAATAAGTAAAGGTTCATGATATTAAAGGGAATGCTGCCCCATAGGAGATTTTGTCTGCGCTGTAGAGACTGCAGTGAGTAAGAGCCTGGTGACTCTCCATGGCTTGGCTGGCTGGCCGGGTCGATGGGGACGGACGTCTTGCAGAGTGCGTTTCCTCGCCTCACACCATGTGGCTCCGTCATGCTATACCACCTGTTCCAGACCCACATGGTCAAAGCTAACACAGATCTTGACCTCCAGGATTAACCCCTGACCAGCGGGGCGACCCCCAATCGTTTGACTCCCTCTTTTGTGTGTTCAGTAATGACGAATAATCGCAGCAAGAGTGAAGGGGAGAGGGGGAGAGTGGAGGAGAGAAGTGTGAGCGAGACCGATAAGGATTAATGAGCTAACGTGACCACAAGCTAACCAGACCAATTTAATCCTAATTTGGAGCCATTCACAAAAATGCTTATGCGGCCAGGGCAATTAGGTACTTTTTATTCTGAATTCCAAAGAACCTGTCAAGAAATTTAAATTTATCATATGAATAATATGATTGTGTTTTTATATATTTTCAACCAGTTTGTGATAAAAAAATGTTAATCTAAACAAATTCAAGATCTGCTATTGATAAGTATCACAAAAGCATATAGAACCTATAAGATTCAATGAATAAAAAAGAAACTCTCTCTTTGTAGTGGTAAATATTATTTCTAGATTTATGAGCAGATCTGTTTCAGGTATTTTTGAAGACATTTTCCATTTATCTGTAACTCTCCAGAACCCCATTAGGTCGATAACCTACTCTGTCTGTACTTTTGTGTTTTCAGAATGGAGATTAAAAAAGCAATAATTGTTTGGAGTTCATTTCAGATGGAATTATGTGCTGAATCATATTGATGGATGGTATTCTGCTACTAATGTTTAATCTCTGATTTATTTCTTTTTTCTATTTGACAGGTGAACAGGATATTCCGGGATCCCAGTATAGGCAATGCCATCAACGTGACATTAGTGGAGCTCAGAATACTGCAGAATGTGAATGTAAGTATCAATGTATATGGTTGTCATGGTGACCAGCTCAAAGGAAAATGGAAGCATTGTGTACATAATCCTCTTTTAGTCTCTCCAACTACTGTCCAAAAGCAAGCTTTACAATAAAATTCAATTCAAATTCAATTAATTTCTATTCAAATGTAATGAAAAGCTAGAAATAATATCACAGAAAACATAGCCATGAACTGCTTATGCCCGGGCAGTAAATGAAAGTTGATCTGTGATGGATTTTTACACTATAGGCTTTGTGTTGAGGGACCTGCAAAACTATATACAATGATTAAATTTTGATTACTTTTTAATGCCATTAGTTGGTTGCATATAATGACAGCATGGACAAACCACTTTTCATCATTTCTGCTTCTCAGGGTATTTGCGCAATGTGCTTCAAATATACAGACTTATCTGTAAGATTTTCTATGAAGACTAGGCAGCATCTTATAAAGATCCACATTGTCTTTGATTGCAAGTTAACTTGAGATTGAAATCAGTAGCAACTCTGTAAGCCTACATAATTGAAAGGAGATTCTAAGTTTGGGATTGATTGGAGTACTTGCAATCAATTTGGATCAGTCACAACACTTTTTTTGAGAGAGGTCCATGTATGCCTTTAGCACTGACAAAAAGGGTCACCCTGTGATGGTTTATTCCTTCAAAATATGTTTAAATATCAAACTATTTACGTTTTTGTTTGATGGGCGAAGATACTCCAAGATATTTTGCTGCAGATATGAAATTCTTGCTTAAATCAGTAACAAAACCTCAGATCACATGTAGAGATCTAATTGGCAGATCATCTTATGAGTGTCTCTCAAGAATTGTTATTCACATATCCCAATAGCAATCCATTACAAGTTTCAACATTTTTTGATGCAACAGATAAACTCGCCTTCCAGTGAGCTGACAATTACAGTCTAGGGTATGAGATCACTGGTTTAAATGGGATGCGATATATCTGTCGCTTGAGTCATGATATGTCTGTGAAAATGTGAAGATGAATTTACTACACCCCCTCCGGTTCCCACCTTGCCTGTCGGAAATCGCGAGACATTCATTGATTGCACAGGAAACCGATGCGTATTTGACCCGTCACTCAAAGAGGAAGGTATTAATATCTTGAGGAAAGACAGTGAAGTAGGGAAGAAAACATTGAGTGTGTTAGTGAAGTTCATGAAAGGCCATTTTACCGATTGAGAATGGAAAGTAAGGAAATGGAGAGATGATTTCATCAGTAGTTCTTTTATTCTGCTTGAATTGAGCGGATGACATGTATTAAATCTTTCCCCTATGATAAGAAATTCTTACATTGATTTGGAAAGATGGAAATTATCTATCATTACTGATCATTTTAAATCAGTCAATCTTTGAAAGAGGCCTTGGCTGTCATGAGTTTATACATTTTATTGCACTCTCAATCAAATGACTGTGATGCGACAATCATCCATTCCAGGGACTTAAAGTTACTACTCCAATTGGAAGTATTAGATTAATGAAGAATTGAAATATAAAATCCCGTCCAATTACAGGCAAATAGGGTTTTATCCATCGGATGAGGAGGTGCTTGTCATTCCTGCCGAACACTTTTTATTTTATTTAAAGAGGATGAGATTGGAAAAGCATATAGAGGGAAAAGCAGAACAAGGGATGCTTTGGGCAGAACAACATTTCCCCTTTGACCTTTTTAGGTTTTATCAAGTACGTTACTTTGAACCCCCTGTTCACTCTCCATAATGATACACCGCATTCCAAGTAGCAAGCAGTCTCTTCATATCTGTTTATCAATTATTCTTATATTTTTTCATATTTTCTCAGGATGGACCTCACATCTCCTCCAATGCTCCCATGACCCTCAAGAACTTCTGCGCCTGGCAGCAGCAGCAGAATCAGGCGGAGGACAGTCATCCTCATCACTATGACACAGCCGTCCTCCTTACCAGGTATGTCTTGCACCTCTCCATCTTCATCCGGACCCTCTTTATTGAACATGTTATCAATAGCAAAAAAAGAAAAAACTGACATAAGCTACTGAAATTGTTTCATTTTATTTTTTAAGATTGAATCTGTCATAGGATTGTGGCGGTTAATGATAACATGTTTTCTGAAACAGGGCCTTGAATTGATGTGCTTGTCCAGTGTTGTACAACTCCGTACTGCTTGTGGGATGTGTATTGAATCATACAAGTGTGTCTATCATAGATGTGTTTTTGGCATCTTGTGTGTTGTTAAGTTATGATTGTGAGGGTGTTTCCAAATGGTCTTGTTGATGATGTCATAAAATGGTGCTGATGTGGGATGATCAAACATGGTGGTGAAGTCTTTGGGAATCGTCTGTGTCCCATCCTTATTGTTGATATGATTGGCTTGTTCCATTACAATGCAGGGGAGATGTTGAGCAATTGCTCGGGCTACGACCCACAAGACCAACAGCCCATGAGACCATTAGCCCTCTAGAATGAACTTGAGGGTCCATGAGGCCGACAATATTAGCCTCTTAGGCTGTCAGTCTTGTAGGCCATCAGTCTTTTGGGCTGCCGGTCTACAGGGATATCCCGGTAGAGCAAGTCTTTTACCACAGCAGAACTTATGATAGCTAGAGTTTTTATAGCCTCATTCTACAGTCCTTTAAGGATGCTAATGGCTGGAAAGTCAAGGAGATAATGAGGACACTTGTGGAGTGGGCTATCGTAAAACACTTGAAGACACCAGATAGGAATGTGAGAAGGATGACACTTAGATGAATGAAGGCGGCAGGTCAGGGTTGTTGGTGGAGACACTGAAGAGAGTCAAGTTATTTTTTGTTGACTGTTGATGAAAACTGTTAACAGTCGATTAAACAAATAGTAGTCTATTAATAGCCTCATATGTTTAATTATTCGTACCAGCATTAAGCTTTAATCTAAATTTAAGATAAAAAACAAGTTATAAAGCCAGAGGATGATTTGAAAAGTTTTAAAATAAGAAATCAAGGGTTTCTGTTTTAAGATCTAATCATTGAGAATATTGATGTGTATTTATTTGCCTGTTTTAGAAAGGTAGCAGTTAACATATATCAGATTTTTAACACATAAATTCCTTGTGATGTACTGGGAATAAATCAAATATTAATCAAAAGAGCAATAAGTTGTAAAAAAATTATATTGGAGTCCAAAACGGGTATCAATGAGGACAGTGTCTCTCCTCCTGAGATATCAAGCGATTTTCCAGGTTGAGATCTTTGGATGTTTCAAAGGTCTTGAACATACTCAAGGATACATGCAATTTTCTTCTAAGCTCTTCACATCATAGCTTCTTCTATGATGTCTTTGTGGATTGATGCCTGTTTAATCTTTGTCAAATACCTTGGCACCAGCGCATCACGGATGCCAGACAATATCCGTGCCCGAGAGTCGGTGCCGCAGAATAAACTACTAATTGCATTATAACGTGCATACTTTATTCACCTGAAGATGAACTTGAAGATGAACGAGTCTGATTGAATTTCCCCATGGCACCGACAAGACATTAGCGCGCCTGTCATCATGGCTTACTCATGCATGCAACGATCGTCTGCCCGGGCCGGGTGTGACTAGCCAGGAATGTGGCTAAGGTGTGCATGCCGCCGCCGCCGCTGCCGCTGCATCTTGCAGCCAGTCTGTCAGGTTGAGAAATGAGGATGGGAATTACCTGGAAGAACTGTTTGACTTTTCCCCTCTAATGTCTAATGGTGGACTATAGAAACATATCTCTTATTCTTGATGACGTTTGCACATCAATCTTCCAGATACATAACTCATCTTGACAATAGGATTGTGATCATTGCTTTTGTAAAGAAATATTCATGCTCCATAGGTCTTCCCTTAGTCTATAATTGCCTCAGATGTAATAAGTGAAATGTCAGACTTGTGAATATCTTCCAATACCTCATTGTGGTATATATTGATTCATCATCTACTTTATATGTAGAGTCAGTAGTATATGTTTTATTGTACACATACCCAATTTTTGTTACATATCTGACACTGCTGCTTTTTTTAAGAGTCAACATTTGTTAGACTTTTCTGTAGTTTTGGAACAAAAGATTGTTATTATCAAGTTCATAATTGTGCAGTAGTTTAGACAGTTATTGTTATTTACTCTTTGCACGGCATTGAATGAATGCAGGAGGTATGTTTGTTTAATTGTGTTTGTGATTTTGGGTAATTCTTATTAATTTGATGAGTCACAAAAGAATTTCAATCCTTTCAGATTGGCTCAAATCTCCAATACATGTATATACCAACCACCTGAAATAGGAGGCTGCCGAAACCAGAGGTATTATTGAGTCCCGGGTTAACTAGCTAGACAGCTGATAACTGATTGATTAATTACTAGGTGTAAATAGGTCATTAGCAACTAAAGGTGAGATTAATGGACTCAGTAAACAGCATAAGTATGGATAATGACTCTACCGAATGTGTGAAGAAGGTCTATAGGTTTTAAATTCCAGGATATCATTCTTTTTTGTAATCGTTTCATGGCATTTTTGAAGGTGAGTCATCATGTGGTCCCTGGACCACAAACTTTTTGTTTATTTGTTTATACTTTTAAAAGTGCAGCAGATCGGAATTTCGGATAGAAATAGCAATTTAGGAAGAAAAAAAATGGAGATTAGTAATCTGATAGGTTAACTGTTCGATAGGAAATAACGAAAACTTTCTAGCTTTTCATTCTTTCTTTTCATCATTTCCTTCAATTTTATGTTTTTTTAGTATAATTATCAAGATATCAGAGTTACATTTAGTAACATTGACATGTATTTTGGGGAAATTGTTATCTACTTGTGCAGTAGTGCTGTTTGGAATGTATGGAGATTCTATGCTCAATTTCATTTTGGCTATTTTTCTTTGAGGCATCTTTCTGCAAAAGTGTATTTTTGTATCTTCAGACCCTCAAGTCCCTAGCATTCTATCTGTTGACCTGTGACCTATATTCAATCCTACATTTTGTCAACAAATAGAGATACAAATCTATGAGCTTATTTTGGAAAGAAACAATCCATTGCTGTCGTAGTTTCGTAATAATGAGGATGAATTGTCTGTAATTGTTCAACATTTTTGGAAATGACATACCTGGAATTTAATCTGAACCATATTTTCTCAAATGAACCCCATTGCTCTTTCTCTCTCATGCCTGGGAGATATACTGGTTCTGTTTTTGCTACAGAGATTGTTTATGTCCAAAACATGTTGGCCTGCTGGTGTTCTTGAGTAACCCTTTTCTTCGGCTTTGGTTGTAACCATGGTAACTGCACATCTTGGGTACCACCAGTGAACCGATAAACAGGTTCATCGTGTGCTCTGACCGCTGTCCTACTTCTCCTCTGCTTCTCTAGACGTCATCTTCAGGGTATGGGTCTAGGAGTTGACGTCCGTCCGACTGCCCCGCCACGGTGATGTAGGACGCACTGCCTCGGAGAGCATTCCATCACATTAAAGCTCTGTGCAGTACTGAGCAATCTCGATTGAGAAAATTCAAAAGGAATTTCTCTCCATTCAATCCAATACAAACAGGAAACTTATCCACACACCACTCGTGAATCATTTACAGTGAATAAGGCCAAGATGGCATTGTGCTTACCGAGGGGTACGATTCAATGCATCATTATCCCTAGTAAAGTACACAATCTTATGATTGATAATTTTCACTTGGTTTTCTGAAAATTGTTTCACAAAAGACCAGTGTATACCTATTATTCCATTATCTCCCTCTGATATGTCTGAGCCCTAGGATGATTGCAACTGTTGAAGCTCTAAAGATAATTTGATTTAGATATAAAAATGAGGTGTCTGGGTTATTTGAGAGGATTGATTGGGCCATTTTCAAAGTTAAAAAGACTTATAAATCAATGAAGAGCAAGTGCCATCCCTTTTTGAACGATTGCATTGGAATGTTGGATTAATGCACCGGGTTGATATTGAGACCCTGGATAATGGCTATGAGTAATCAGAACCAGGATCACATACTAAAAGACAAAATGAGAAAGATACAAGGAGACAGAGAGACCAAGAGAGAGAAAGAGAGAGAGAGAGAGAGGGAGAGAGGTAGAACAAGAAATGGAGAGACAGATACAAAGAGAGAGACAAATATATATTAAAGACAGGGTAAAACAATTAATATAGGAGACATTGATGGAGAGAGAGAGGGATCATATTTTGCATTCAAATTTTTAATATTTCTTTTTCAGCATTCAGGAAGTCAGTGTGGGAACAGCCCACCCAAGCAATCACACGGCCATACAGCTAAATTGACTTAAACAAAAATGATTTGTGAGGAAACGATCTGTGCAACATGATTCGCAAGGTCAGCTTCCTCCAGTGCAGTTGTAACTCATAGAAATTTGATGTAAATTAGAAAGAGTTATGGGCTGTACAGATTTGAAAAGGCCATCGCAAATTGCATAGTGATCATTTCTGCACTGTTGGTTTTGCCTTTGTTCTGATAATGTATCTCTTAGTGAGCTATAGAATAGTAAGGGGGTATTTCCCCATTATTTTTCCTCTTTTCTGCCTTCTTACCCCCCCCCCCCCCCAAAAAAAAAAAAAAAAAAAAAAAGAAAAGAAAAAAAGAAGTATGAAATTGATCCAAATAAGCTCCTAGTTCTGATGAATGATAACTACATTCGAGTGATGAGGGATTTGGCTCTTTGCAGCTCTAAAATAGCTTTGGTAAAACAATGAATAAAAACTGCTAAAAGGGAATCTCTTCTATTTTTTGTAGTAAATGCAGCAGGGGCTCTAGCATACAGAATAGTTATTTTATCTGGTTCTGATATTACAACAGTAGCAAAGCATAATTCTCACATAATCAAAGAAAAACTATTCTAAATATTCATATTGGACATCACAGATAATGACATCTGCCAAACAACTTTGATGTAAATTTCTAGAATTATTTACATCAATTAGTGCTAAAGGCCCATTAACATGTAAGAGGTAAGGCCTCAGAAGTGCGCTTCAGTGTGGTCCCATCAATTGTCTATTTTGACTGTTGATTGAATCAATTGGATAGAAAAGAAAGGGTGTTAAAGAGAATATTAAGGTGATGTCCATGAGAAGTGTGTGTAGTGACCATGGATCTTGTTTCTTTGTCTCTCGCCCCTTCAGGATGTTTTCTCCTCAAACACTTCCTAACATCTTGCTCCTATTAAGAGAAACTTGTCCTAATATAGCGGAGATTTCAACTTGTCCACTCCCCCCCCCCCCCCTCTCTCTCTCTCTCTCTCTCTCTCTCTCTCTCTCTCGGTTCGGTGTAAACACACAGCTATCAAAGTTACCACTTTGAGCATATTGCAGACTGTTTTGTTAAATATGGAGAAGAATTGAATATATTTGGAATGATAACAGAGGTACAACTTCAAACACATTCCTGGTTAGAAATTGATGGAGAAATGGGGAAAAAGTCAAATATGATTGTTTATTTTTGTACTGCTTTTT